CTACATTCGTGATTCAATGAAGCGCTAGCAGCAGCGAGGGCGACACACACCCCTGTGACCTCGGCGCTGCCTCGTGACGGCTGAGCTACCTCGCTGGAGGAGGAAATGACTCACGTTCCCGTGGCCGGCTGGCCTCGGGCAGCACCCTTCAGTGCAGGACGGGCTAGGTGCAACGAAAAATTGCGCTTACAGCGTGGACAGCTCTCCTTACTGCAAACTACCGATAGCAAAACATCGGGTTTTGCTTCATAGTTACCCTTATCTAGGTTTTTCTATTAAAAAAACCCCAGCAGTCTATCAGAACTCCAGCTTGTATGAGAAGAAGGGTGAGGAGGTGTGGGAAGGGATGAGCGTGCTGCCTCCCACTTCCCCTTCAGCAGAGATCAGACTGTTTTCAGAATGATGTGTCTTGTAACTGGAAGCACTGGCAGCCCCGGCATATCTGGGGTAAAGGAGGGGGGGCCTGACTTCTCTGGGTTGATTCATGTAGTGGGTGCTTTTTCCTTTTCTTCTGTTTTTTTCCCCCCTTTTTTGTCACGCAGGGAGGACCAGTGGGAAAAGATGATGCCACACGCTGTTTCTGCTGCAGCTCTGGCCCAAAATGGTGTCATGGGGTGCATGTGTCTGTAACTAATCCTTGAGAAAATGGGTGTGCAGTCAGAAACAGGAGGTTTGCTCCCAGGATCACAGATCTCCTCCCTGAGCCTGCATCCAGCCCAGCATCAGTTAGCTCCCTGCTGCAGCTGCACTCCCTGCTGCCAGCACCCAGAGGGACAGACGGGGAGGGTCCTGGTACTCTTCAGCTGTCACAGTACAGTAGCTCCTGAGCAAGTCCTTATACCTGCATAAGAGTAGGTTCAAACCAACTGGCTTCCTTTACTATGGGCACGCAGTTACACAGCTGAAAAGCACAGCTGCAGTGGAAAACCTGGTTCTGCCTTCAAGGGCTTCCACTGCTGCAAACTGAACTATCCCAGTATAGACCAGGCTGTTGCAAAGTGGGGTCAGAAAGTTTGAAAAATTAATTTAAAAGGTAACAAAGTAAAGTGAAGAGTGGTAAGGAGATCACTCGTAGCCTCAGGTTGCATTAGGAGCGTCTCACCTGTGCATACGTTTGCTGCTTGGCCTCACCCCCGTGCAGATGTTTGCGGATTCACCGCTTCCCTCTTTATTTTCCTTTCTGCAGAGCGAGCTGGAGATGGTGGACCATCTTGCAAACACTGAGATCAACAGCCAGCGCATTGCTGCTGTGGAAAACTGCTTTGGAGCTTCTGGTCAGCCCTTAGCTGTGCCAGGAAGGGTCCTTCTAGGAGAAGGGATTTTAACCAAAGAATGCCGCAAGAAACCAAAGCCTCGCATATTCTTCCTTTTCAACGACATCCTCGTCTACGGCAGCATAGTCATCAACAAAAGGAAGTACAATTCCCAGCACATCATTCCCCTTGAAGATGTCACTTTGGAGACGCTGCCAGACACCTTGCAGATGAAGAACCGCTGGATGATTAAAACCTCCAAGAAGTCCTTTGTGGTTTCCGCGGCTTCCCTCACGGAGAGGAAGGAGTGGATCAGCCATCTGGAGGAGTGCATCAGGCACCTGCTGACGAAGACGGGCCGGCAGCCCTCCACGGAGCATGCGGCCCCCTGGATCCCAGACAAGGCGACAGACATCTGCATGCGCTGCACGCAGACCAAGTTCTCCACGCTCACCCGAAGGCACCACTGCCGCAAGTGTGGCTTTGTTGTCTGCGCAGACTGCTCCAGGCAGAGGTTCCTGATGCCCCGGCTGTCCCCCAAGCCCCTGAGGGTCTGCAACCTGTGCTACAGGCAGCTGCTGGCAGAAAAGAAGAAGGAGGCAGAGGCAGATCGCAGGCAGCCGGAGCCGATCCGCTCTGCTATCCCGGGCTACGAACCCTCCAGTGGCGATGACAGTGACAAGTCTGATGACGACAAAGCTGACCAGTGGCCAGCAGACACAGAGTTTTACACCTCACAAGTATCCTGGTCATCTTTCCACAGCTGACCTCCCTGGGAGTCGGTGGCTTTTAGACATTGGGAAGCCAACTTCTGGCCTCCAATGCATGTCCTTCTTGATGTTTTCTCTGGAGGCCGTGCCTAGGAAGGTGGATCTTGGCCCCTGTGTGTCGTGTCTGTGTGGAGAGCAGGGATGGGGTTATCCCTCGGAGAACATGTCTCGTACAACATGAGCACAGAGAGCAACAGCTCAGCAGAGCGTGGACTGGGGCAGAGACCTGTGGATCAGCCTTGGCCAGACGAGCTCACCCTTCAGTGCCTTAGTCTTCTTGTTTGCAAAAACAGAGCAATACTAACTTATTTTTTCAAATGCCTTGAGACTGACTCTGGGGAAAGAAAGGAGCAAGAAATCCTGGAGTCAGTGCACCTGCCTGCTAGCGGTGCATTCCTCTGTCACAGCGAGGGGCACTCGGGATGCTGTTTTCCGTAAGCATTGCATCTACGTCGAGATTCTCACTGCAAGCGTGCCAGCCTGAGGGGATAGCTGCTCATCCCTGCACAGTAAGGTTGGCACAGGCTTCCATTTCTACACCCGGGTCTTTCAACTTTGGAAACACTAAAGAAATGGTGCTCTGAATGCAGGGAGCTCACACAAGGCTCAGTGTGAGCAGCCTTAGCAAAGCGCTGGAGCATCCAGCTCTCTCGCATAGAAAGAGGACATTTTGGTGGTACCAGGCCAGGAGGGAGGAAGGATAGAAGGGGACAGGTAAAATTGTACAGAGGCGTGAGATAATGAGGGAGAGACTTACCACAGTTGACTCAACTAAGTGCAGAGTCCCAGTTCTCAGGAACAGGCCGTTCCACCAGATTACCAGCAACTTGATGAACTCAAGCCTATCGGGTAAAAGGACAGCCCTGGGAAGACTTGTTAGTAGTTTTGAAAAATCCAAGAAAATGCCCCAAATTAAGATCCTATGAATACAGCACTTCACCTTCCACTTCCCTCCTGAGCAGGAGCCCAAGGCGTTGAATGCTCACTTGTGGGCTCACCTCATGTCTATCAGTCACACGAGTCCAAAGTTAAGGTCCTTTATGTACTTCCAGGACTGGAGCCCAAGACTTTACAGTTAACATGAGATCAGCTTTAAAGTTCAAATTAAGTTAGAACTAAACCATGTATATTCAAGTATTCAATCATGATATAGAGTGGGAGTAAATATACTGAAAATCAGACAAAAGCAATTGTTTTGCAGCAGACATTTCTACAAACTGTTATTAATTTTAGTGTATTTTTGTATTGTGTATTTTATGCTCTGGAAAAGGAACACGGCTGGGAGTACACTGCCAATGTTATAAACCATTTCCTTACTGTGACCTGTTCTAAACAGTGCGTTGCCTGCCAGATGGCCAGACTTAGGGTTTTTTAAATTTCAGTTCAAAGTAATCATTCTTACTGTTTTTTTGTAAACTGCCACTGTTCCAATGAATTTGTATCACTTGACTGTATGTGAATAAAGATATGGCCAACAGGAAGAAGCCAGGAAAATATGACAATAAAGCATGTTGTTATTTAACAAGAGCCTTAAACAAGAGCTGGGATTCAGGCCCGGCTGGCCAGCACGAGTTCTGACTCCTCAGCTGTGGGGGGAATGCTGCGGGTTTCTATTTACTGATTGAAGATACGTAAGTGTGAGTGAAAAAAATTGCCAAATCTGATGCTTCCTTTCTATTTACACTGTGTTATCATCTGACAGAGTTTTCCCAAGTCTTTTGCAATCCCCTGCAGTAGTCGGTATTAATTGAAATGGTATTTTTCCGGTGGGGCCGCAGCTTAGAGTGGGTCAACAAACCTTATGACCTAAGCAGATGGTTTTGGGTTTTAAAGCAGTAAGTACACCAAGTTCTGTTTTTTCCATCCCTCTCGAAGCTTAGTTCATAACTCTGCGCAGCAGGGATTGTTTTTATAATGCCTCCCACCCACTACAAGGGTGTATATGCTATGCAAACAGAAAATGACCTTAAAAATAAACAGCCATTAGAACTGTTCACAAGCCAAAAATAGCCCAGCCGCTGAATCCACATCCATAGCTGGCGTTCTAGTTCCTGCTCCTGAGGCAAAACTCCCAGTTTCCTCCTAGTAACTGGCTCCAGAAATGTATTCCAGTTTTGAACCTACTCCTTAGTTCTCTTGGAGATCAGCTTTTCTTTATCTTATATGTCCAAAAGTCTTAGCATTTTCAGCCCCAAAGAGCTATGAACTGTTTTTATCCACTAATGAAGGGCAGGCACGCCTCTAACAAATGCCTTCTTGTTGAGCAAGAGCTTCTCTTAATCACAGCTGGAAAAAATACACCACAAAAAAAACCAAACAAACAAGCTGCACCAAATCAACGCAGCCCCTTTTTTCTGTGCACACTGTAGCTGATGGCCTTTCTAGAAACACCTTCCAGTAACTGGTACGTCCCTGTCCCTTAGAGGAGGCAGGTATGGAGAAGAGTCAAGGGTGCAAAAGCTGCAACACTCTTGTGAGTAATGGAGAATAAAGGGCGACTCGCATCACACACTCACTGCTATTTTGAGACGCAGCGTTTTGGAGCCGAGGTGCACATGAGCACTTGCATTTCCAGAGGCTGCTTACATGCCCGCTGCCTTGAGTGCGTTACAGTGCCTTCTCCCAGAGCTTGCCCTGTTGCCACCCCATTGCTCGGTGCTGCTCCCAGCTCTGCAGCCGTGGGGAGAGCGTTGGGGGGCAGCAGCTGGGAGACCTGGAAAGGCT